GGCTTTTCCCCTTTCTCAGTCTGGGGTGGGGTGGGAGCTGGGCATGATCACGCAAGAGTACTCTTTAAATGAATAAATTCCCTTTTTCTAAGTCTGGGCCTCAACAATTCCACACATGAGTTTTATACCCCCTATTCCTAAACTCAGGGGGAGAGCATAGGAGCTTCATTCCTGGTTTTCCTGGTTGGGCGGAGGGACTTGTGAGCTTTGGTGCAGACGGTAGGGGGAAGGAGCCCCCATGAGTTCCTGCCCTGTGTGTGCAGTTGTATAGGTGGCTGCTGCTACTCACTCCTGCTCCAGCTCCGACATAGCCTCTCTCACCCTGTGACTCAGTTAGTTATTAAGCCCCAAGTCCCCGTCTTTCAGTCCCGATGGGTTGTCCTTTGCCCTTCTCTTTCTATTACGCCTTTCTTGCATGCCTTTTGGAAAAGCTTATGGCTCTACTTTCATAAAACAAACTCATGAATCTAGCAACTCTTATTCTTGCCCAATTCAACAAGGGCAGGAAATTGTTTGCGTATTGCTGAGTGTCTTGCTGTTTCCATAAGCAAATGTCTTTTCTATAACTTCTTCTGAAACACTGATGCAATAGAATTTCTAAGAATCCAGAAAGTGAATCATAAAATCATGTATGTGCTGCACCATGGATTTCTTGACAACTTTACTCATGGGCCTTGATAACTAGATGTGAAAAGGAAACATAATCAAGATTTTCAGTTTGGCAAAACATTTAGCCAGGCGGGCAAGGTAGGGAAGAAGTAAGTTTGGAGAGCCTCTGGTCAGGCTGCATTACTCGAAATAACTCGGCCTCCCTAAACTAACTCTGTACTGAGACTTGCTCGCGGAAGGTTTAGGTCTGCTAGTATTTGAACTCAAGAGGTGTCCATAGTTGTGGTGATGATTGTGTAACTAGAGACTGACACTATCTCGCGCTCGAGAGCTACAACTGTATGTCTTCGGTGGAAAGTGGTCACTTTTGCTAGCCGCGTAGTCGTGGATTGCGCTAATAGCATGTATTGGACAGGCATCAGGAAGCCTATGAGTGGACGATCCAGCAATGCGACTTGCCATCCTTTTTGTTTGAATGCATACGCTTGCGTTGTTATGGGAGCAAAAGCAGGTATAACTTTATCCTCCGATAACAAAAACAGAGAAAAGATTTGCTCGAGAAAACTTCTTGTCGTTCGATGAATCATTTCTCAAGAGTACACTTGTTCTCACACCTCAGGGAAAGAATTTTCGGTCAGACAGTGTTCTTGTGGCAGTTTGGTTGCCAAACGTGATATGTTGGAAGCCTTTTTAGGGAGGTATGGCTGAAAAGAAGTATCTCCAGCGAGGGAAATCTGGAAAATTGAAGCTTTCTGGAGAAAGTGCTTGTGAATCTTGTACCTTGCGCCAGCTCACTAGAGGCTACAACTGTGTCTGTGTGGATTTTTATGGATCTCTCTTACCTAGCCTTGCTTTCTTGTGGAGATCTGACAAAGCATATATTGCGCAGACTGGCGGTCTGGAAGGCTGTAGTGTAGGGCGAAAAAGGGAAATGATCTTCCGATAGAAAAACAAAAGATTCTGAGAAACTTCTTTGGTGCTTCGTGTGAATGATCTCACAGGAGTTACATCCTGTCACCTGCAGCGAAGAATTTTCGCTAGATAGTTCTTGTTGGACTCTCTGCAAATGTAGGTGGGAAGTCGCCATAGAGTACAGTGAAAACCGAAACTTAGTCAGATGTATATCTGGGAAAGTAAGCGCTTTCTGGAATATGCTTAGTGTTCTGTTAATTCATCTTCTCAGAACTGACAGCTTTCCCCTCAAGAGGAGTCGCTAGGCTAACATGTTTCCTGTTGGTTCGGCAAACGTGATATTTGGAAGCGCCATAGAGGGCTATGGTGAAAAGGGAATAATATCCTCAGGAAAAAACTGGAAAAGGAGCTTTTCTGAGAAACTGCTTGGTATGTGGACTTCACTTACCAGGGAGTCTTAATCGTGTATTTGTGATCTCTTTGGCCAGCCTTATTTTTGTGGAATCTGAGAACAGCAGTATTTCGGATCCGGTTTGGAAGGCTATGTAGAGTAGAAGGAAATAGTCTCCAATAACCAAAAGGAGAAGAGCTCTGTCTGGAGAACTTGCTTTTATGTTCTGTGAAATCATGTGTGTATTACAGGTTTCCGCCTCAGAAGGACGCCTTTCCGGCTAAGACAGGTTTTGTTGGAATTTGCAAGTGATAATTTGGAAGCCATAGAGGCTATGGTGAAGGTTGTAAAAAGGAGGAAGTATAGTCAGAGGAAAATCTTGAAAGAGTCTTTGTGTGCTGCTTAGTGTTCTGTTACTTCAATTCTCACGTACGATACAGCGTTTTCCCTCAGGAATTCGCTCCCTGGAGCGGATGCTTGGTGGATATTCGCCAAGAGTGATATGTTGGAAGCCCATTAGAGCTGTGGTGGTAGAAAAGAATAGATCCTGTCCGAGAAAAACTGGAGAAGAAGCTTTCTGAGAAACTGCTTTGTGATTGGTGTTCTTCTCA